ACATTATACCTGCTGAGTCCTTCTGCCCCCCCGCCCAACCCGGCCCTCTACAGCATCCACCCCCCAAAACTCCAGGTATTTCCCTCCTTAGAGCTGGCAACCCTACTTTCCCCTCAGTGCCTGTTGGTAGGCAGCTAAGCTTGGTTCTGTCACCTACTTTGGCCTTTGGGAGAAAACACATTGAGGCCAGTCCTGATAGGGTTGCCAACTCCAGATGGGAAATTCCTGGAGGTTTGAGGGATGGAGCCTGAAGAGGGTGAGGTTTGAGGAGGGGTGGGACCTCAGACAGGTACAATGCCATAGACTCCACCCACCAAACCAATCAGTCCCACATAGGGAACCATTGTTGCCAATCTCCAGGTGAGGGCTAGAGAGCACTCAGAATTACAACTGCTCTGCAGAAGGGAGGGCAGAAGTCAGCTGAAGTCAAAGGGGCAGATAATGGTAGGTTGATGGTTAGCTGGGAAGGAGATGGGGTTGCCAACTCCACCCTCCAAACCAGCCATTTTGTCCTGGGTAACAATTGCTGCCAATCTCCAGGTGAGGGCTACAGATCACTCACAATTACAACTGCTCTTCAGGTAGCAGAGATCAGTTCTTCTGGAGAAAACAGTGGACTCTGTCATTATACCCTGCTGAGGTCACCACAGCAAATTGACACTGTTTGCCCAAAGCCAGAGCACTCCCCCAGAGCCTCTTTCTAGATCTCGTTGTATTGTTTTCACAACGGGCTTTACTGCTAGTATAGTTATATGTCAGTGGGATTTCCAGTGGTGTATGGTAAAATGCAGGTTTTACCTTTATAATGTGTGACATGGGCCTCATGGAATTTTGATGATTTCAGGTTCTCTCTACAGTTTCAGCAGTACAAAATCCAGGACAGGTTGTTTGGGTAAAGTAAAATTTCGTGTATGTGTGTGTTTTAACTTTCAGTCACTTTACGTATTTATTTTACAAAATCAGCACTCAGTAGTCATGAGAAAGCTAACTTTAAGAACGCATATCTGAATATTGACTCAGAAATAGTTCCAGAATACCAACTTGAAGATACTGGCTTAGATGCAAAAAGCTGCAGACAGTGTTCCAGTCACATACTGGGAATTTCCTGTTCCCCCAAGTGCATTAATCCTCACATTAATGAGAGCCAGTTTGGTGTAGTGGTTAAGTGTGCGGACTCTAATCTGGGAGAACCGGGTTTGATTCCTCACTCCTACACTTGCACCTGCTGATGTGACCTTGGGTCAGTCACAAGCTCTGGCACAGCTGTCCTTGAAAAAGAGCAGTTTCTGTCAAGAGTTCTCTCAGCCCCACCCACCTCACAGGGTGTCTGTTGTGGGGAGGGGAAGGGAAAGGAGTTTGTAAGCCGCTCTGAGACTCCAAGTGAAGGGCAGGGTATAAATCCAATCTCCTCCTCCTCCTCCTCCTCCTCCTCCACATTGACTGAAAAGTCACTCCTAAGGTTTGGGAGACCGTCTGAAATGGTGTGTTGTGCAAACTGAGTGTGTGTGTAATCATTAGAAATCAGCACACCTAGTTATTGCTTGAGCAAAAGTGTCTTCTCCATGTACAAGTATCTGAAGCATCAAATGCATGTACTGGAAAATTAGAAGACAAGTGTTACTGAAATGGGTTTCGGATTTAGTGAAATAGATACTATTTAGGTAAGGTGATAGACATGCAAAACATTTATTTGCCTTTGTGGTACAAACAGATTTCACATGGTTTTTCACTCAAAAGAAGGCTTGTGTTTTTATGTTTAGTTTTCCTTTCCAAACGTAAGCTAAATCCTTACAGCTTAACCAAGAAGCCCTCTGCCATGTTATGTTGTTGGTGTTCCTTCATCATTCCTAGCTAATGAAATAGATCAGCCATGTGACCTTTAATGCTGGTCAGTTGGTTCTGTGCTCCAGAAGATAAATTATTTTCTCTTGAATTACTTTGCAATATGATGCTTGAGGAAGCTGGAATGAGATGGGAGAATGAAGCGAGAATCAACTGTTTTTCAATAGCGCAGTGAAAGATGTTGACATGGGGGAAATAGACTGCCGCTAAAGCGACTTCTTAGTCCTGTAACCTGTATGGTAAGAGGCAAAAATTGCTTAAACGTTTGAAGTGTCTTTGCCTCATCTTTCTGCCAGACTGATTCCAGGCTTACATTTCATTGCAGATTTTGGGTTGATAAAATTGCTGTCACTGAAGAACATGCAGTACAAAAGACAGTGGATGATCTGAAGCAATTCTTGGCCTACCACATCTTTATGAGAGAAGTGATACCATGAGTGTTGACAACATGCTCTTTTTCCATGTCCACCTCACCTTCCACTCCAATCCAGTTTCCTAATCCACACAACATGCCACTGGGAGAGAATATCTTTGTCCTCATCCTCCTTCCCTCTACAAGTTTGCACACGGGGTTTTAGCCTAGCCTTTGCACACCAGTGATTTGGTGTGCCAAGCAGACTAATTTCCCCCCTGTCAGTAACAGCAAACAAATGGTATTAACTGGCTGAATGAGAGATATTGCTTTTAAATTGGGTTTGAGTATGTGATAGCGGAATATACTCTGAAGAATTCCTGAGAACTCTGCTTTCTATCATAAATATATGTGCATTTTTTTCTTTTATTTAATGTATTTATGTATTGCCTTTCTGTCAACACACCCAAAGCAATTTGCAGGTTAAAATATGAAAGACAAACAGTAGGAACTCTTGCAAGTCATTGGTTGTGTCTTCAGGAGTTAATCATACGTATTCTCTGGCCTGCATTTTCCCTTTCTTGTCTTCCCTTCAGGGCAATACTGTATTACCTTATATACATATAGTAGAATTTGATAGCATTTTAGTATTGGCTCCATTTGGTGGGGAAATGGTTTTTGTTATCATGGATTTATTTATTTGCTTGTCTTTTGTAGGTCCATTTTGATTTCTCGGACTGTGGATTCTGGCAAGAAAGCCAAAAGATGGGTGTCAAAACATTTACCCACAATTCCCCCGCACACAGCCAGGAGATGCTCGGGAAGCTGAACATGCTGCGTAACGATGGGCATTTCTGCGATATCACCATTCGTGTCCAAGACAAGATCTTCAGGGCACACAAAGTGGTGTTGGCAGCCTGCAGTGACTTCTTCCGTTCCAAGCTGGTTGGACAAGCAGAAGAGGACAGCAAAAGTGTACTGGACTTGCATCACGTGACTGTAACTGGGTTCATGCCTCTCCTGGAATATGCATACACGGCAACACTCTCGATTAACACAGAAAATATTATTGATGTCTTGGCTGCAGCTAGCTATATGCAAATGTTCAGTGTTGCTAGCACCTGTTCTGAGTTCATGAAGTCGAGCATTTTGTGGAACACTCCCAGTAGCCAGCAAGAAAAGGTGCTAGATACAGGACAGGAAAACAGCGCAAACTGCAACTTTACCTCTCGAGACGGTAGCCTTTCGCCAGTTTCTTCAGAATGCAGCATGGTAGAAAGAACCATTCCTGTCTGCCGAGAGTCGCGGCGGAAGCGCAAAAGTTACATAGTCATGTCGCCTGGAAGTCCTCTTAAATGTAGCACTCAGACAAACTCCCCACAGGTTCTGAATCCTTCAGCTTCCTATGCAGAGTCTAGAAGTCACCCTGTAGACTCTTCCTTGGCTTTTCCTTGGACTTTCCCTTTCGGAATTGACCGAAGGCTTCAGTCGGAGAAGGTGAAGCAAGTCGAAAATTCTCGGACTCTAGAAGTGCCTGGCCCAGCAGAAGCGTCCAGAAGAATTGCTGATTACGTGACTTGTGAGAGCACAAAGGTCAGTTCCCCTCTGGTGATTGAAGAAGATGTGCGTGTCAAAGTGGAAAGGTTAAGTGACGAGGAAGTTCACGAGGAGGTGTCCCAGCCCGTCAGCGCGTCCCAAAGTTCCCTGAGCGATCAGCAGACGGTTCCTGGAAGTGAGCAAGTTCAGGAAGACCTTTTGATCAGCCCACAGTCGTCTTCTATAGGTAGAATCGCTTGGCACTTCTATGTGTTCCACTGTGATTTTATCGGGAGCAGTGCGGGCTTCCTCTTGTCATGTAATATTCTCAGTGTTTGAGTGTGGTGTTTTCAAACACTTTGAAAAACTCTTCTTGTTAATGATACTGAGTGTTTTCATTCTACTTCAGCCAGAGTGTTGTGGTCATGAGAGTGTACAGTCATTAATCCCCTTTACCGTTCAGCACTGAGACTCTTCTGCAGCTTAAATCTTTCATTTTGCGAGCCTAATACCATGAAGGGGTGGGAACGGAGTTGGAGCCTTTCAGGGAGGAAATGTCTGAGCTGTGCAGTCATACTACTTCAGCTGCACCACTGCTTTAAGGAAGCAGGGATAGTATTCCAGTGGGCACATGCCTCAACGTATTTCTGTTGCTATTTTTGCACTGCGCTTCGAATAGCTCATATGTTGACGTTCTATATTGGTGGCGTTTCTGCTCAAATTAAATTGCTTGACCTGTTAAAGAGTTTTCATAGACTTCAGTGGTCGTGAATCCTCTTTAAATAGAAAGCGCACAAACGTTGAACGCATTATCTTGCCAGGCTCTTTATACCTAATCTGCCAGAAATTTGAGAGCATGGTTTATAAATTTAAAAGGGGGAGCAGAATTTATTTTCTGGCAGCCGTTAGCTAAAAACTGGTTCACTAGGCTGATGTAATCTGACCCCATGCCCTTAAACACATGGAAGTAGGAGTTCAGGGAAAAGATTGCCAGTGACATGTGATTGCCTATATGAAACTATTACACAGATAGAGCATTGTGTAGTTTCTGGCATCACTTAAGCAAAACCAGAAACTTCAGGAATAGGGAAGTGTTATGATATAATGTTAAAGGTAAAGGCATGTCTTGTACCCTGAAGAGTGTCATACACTGGGATGGCACTATATAAGTTAATAATAATACTGAGCCCTGTATCCTGCCACCCTCAGGGATATTATAGCATTGGGAAAACTGCAGAAAAGGGCAACTAGAATGATAAAAAGGTTGGAACACTTTCCCTATGAAGAAAGGTTAAAACGCTTAGGACTCTTTAGCTTGGAGAAACGACGGCTGAGGGGTGACATGATCGAGGTTTATAAGATTATGCGTGGGATAGAGCAGATAGAGAAAGAAGTACTTTTCTCCCTTTCTCACAACACAAGAACTCGTGGGCACTCAATGACATTGCTGAGCAGTCAGATTAGAACAGATAAAAGGAAGTACTTCACCCAAAGAGTGATTAACACATGGAATTCACTGCCACAGGAGGAGGTGGCAACTACAAGCATGGACAGCTTCAAGAGGGAATTAGATAAGCATATGGAGCAGAGGTTTATCAGTGGTTATTGGCCACAAGGTATAGATAGGAACTCTCAGTCTGGGGCAAGTGATGCACTGTGTTCTTGGTGCTGGGGGGGCAACAGTGGGAGGGCTTCTAGTCTCCTGGCCCCACTGCTGGACCTCCTGATGGCACCTGGTATTTTTAGCCACTGTGTGACAGAGTGTTGGACTAGATAGGCCATTGACCTGATCCAACACTGCCTTCTCTTATGTTCTTATGTGTTTCTGTAAGTGCACAGCCAAGGGCCTTGCCAGTCACTTCTTTTTCAGTGGGTAGTTCTACAAGCACATTTGGGTATATTCATGCACAGAGCTGTGACCATTACTGAAGCAAACAGGGAAATCTTGGCTTCTCAGGAGCTTTGCAAACACATCAAGCAGCTGCTGTAGCAAACTATCAGATTTTAGAACAAAGTTTGAGTCCAGTGGCATCTTTAAGATCAACAAAGTTTTATTCTGGGTATAAACTTTTGTGCACCTGCACACTTGAACTGAGCATGCACACGAAAGCTTATACCCAGTATAAAACTTTGTTGGTCTCAGAGGTGCCACTGGACTCAAACTTTGCTCTGCTGCTTCAGGCCAACACGGCTACTCACCTGAATCTGTCAAATTTTAGTTTGGCCTTAGGCAAAAGCATTACAAATAAAAAAACTCAGGCATTAAGAGGAAAGTGGCAATGTTACTTCAGAACTGAGTGTTCATTTTTTAAAAGAAAACATGGCACAGAACTTATTTGCTAAGAACGTGAGTATATATTTAGTGCCTCATCATTTAACCGTGATGTCGATGATGTATTTGGTTGTTGATTCTGCTTTTATTTGTTTGTGTTGAAAAATTTATATCCCACCTTTCTGCCCTCATGAGGGCCACCAAGGCAACTAACATATTAAAACATACACAATAAAATCACATTTTAAAACCTTTAACCCTCTCACAACAAAATCCATCATTAAAACAATTAAAACCAGACCTAAAATGCATACAAAACAAAAACAGCAATTAAAAACATTGGGCAGGGCAGGAAGGATCTGCTATATTTTATTGTTCTTTTTCTATTGATATATGCCTATTGTTATGGCTTCCCTTTCTTCAATTATGCTGATTTGTTGACATCAACAAGCAACATCCCTGTAAGGTTGGATCTCAAGGTGGGTCCTGTGATCTGGGTTCAAAAGCCAGGCCCCTGAGATTTTCCCTGGCATTCTGCAAGATAGGCCTCTTGCTGGGTTTCTGAATGACTCCACAGAAATCAGCCCTGATAAAATGTTCTTTACAGGATTGAGTCTACCCAGGAGTCTCTGAATGGTGACGAGAGAGACAGTCTTCAAGGAGTTTCTTCCTGCTTTAACCCCTATTAAATAAATGCTGCTTTCTTTTGCAACCATTATTCATTTCAGAAGGTTCTTTCATAGGAGGCATCCCTGGTAGGCTGAATACACTTTGATCTTTGATCTTTTCTCCACTTCTGGGGCAGAGATCACCACAGAAAAGAAAGCAGTGATCCATAAGATAGGCACTTGGTTGAAGAGTCTGCTTTGCGTTGTTGTAGTTCTGCAGAAACCTTTTGATTTCTCTTGACTAAGGTAGCAATGATCACCAGCTCCTTGCATTGAGCATCACACTGAAATTATACTTGACAAATACTTTAACTGTTGAAGCGTGTTGGCACGTATTCGACTACACCATTCCGAGGACTAACTTGCACTCGGGTCTTCAGAAGAAGGAGATTTCTGCTGAGTCTCCCCACTGCGGACCTCCACTTTTGGTTTTAGCGCTGTACCTGAGGGTCTGCTGATCGCCAGGAACAAAATTTCACTGGTCTGCAATGGAAGGGGGGGAACCAGAAAAAGTCATGCTCTGCAAAGAGTACAGATGGTTGGATAAACCCAAGTCTGTCTTTAAAAAGTGTTTAAAGCAGCACTTTTAATTAGCAACCTTAACCAGTGTTCCCTCTAAGCTGAGTTAGTGCAAGCTAGCTCACAGTTTTTTTAGCCTCCGGCTCACACATTTCTGTCTTCACTCAGGAAGGATGGCACCAGAGCAAACTAATTTACGCAGTAGCCAAATCGCTCACTCACAACTTTAATGCTGGTCGCTCACAAAGTAGAATTTTTGCTCACAAGACTCCACATCTTAGAGGGAGCACTGGCCTTAACTAGAAGGGGGGGGGACCTTTTCAAAGGCTCTTCATTCTGCCTGGAATAGTAAAGTGACTCTGCAGCTTCTGGCCCTACAGTAGCCATGCAGGTATCCTGTTTTGCATGGCAGTATGACTGCACATTCTTTTTGAGAAACAGAACTCAACAGTTTATTTAGTTATGTCATTTATAGTCTGCCTTTCCCCTTGAGACTTATTACACTGCCTTGTCAATACAGTCAACAGCGTGGGACATCCAGTTAACTATGCAGTAGGATTTCAGTTGCAGAAATCTGAAAACAGGGCTGAAGCGAAGCACAAGTTTGTCCAATGAAGTTGTGTTTCTTTAACAAAGCAGCTGAAAATGGTATACATAAACTGGTCTCGTGGCATCTTATGGGCTAACACGTTTTTCTTCTCGCATAAACTTTTGTGGACTAGAGCTCACTTTGTCGAATGCTCATATACTGTGTAAAAGTACCTCCTACTAGTATGGACCCTGCAGTTCCTTTCCATCAAGCCTTCCTCCAGGAGAAAAAGCTTTTTCCGGCTGACAAAGTCTGTCTCTATTGGAGGAACATATGATGGAAGGAGATCATAAGGCCAGCTTAGTAGATGAGCTCTGTAGGATCTAAACTATACAGTGGGGGATATCACACAAAATATTGTGGGCAAAATACATAAAGAATGAGGGGGGTTTCCTTTTATACAATGGGTATGTACTTCATGTGCATGTATTGTGAGATGGAGAGGAGGAGGGATTGGTGAGCCATCACTGGTTTCATGCATTGATCAGTCTACACACTTGCATGAATCTCATTTAAGCATAAGACTTCCCCCCCCCCCCCCAAGAAGAAAGCCAGAAGCATTTTCATACAGGCAAATAAAGTGTTGATAGCATGAAATATATGCTATTTTGTCACTTTTTGTTTTTATATCCACAGCTCTCGATTTTAATCTGTGGATTTACTGTTTTTATGAAATCACAATTTGATTATGTTACTAAACCTGAACTAATGCTAGCTGTGCAGACTTATAAGATTCAAGACAGATGAAAGAAAGCTGGCTTCTGGAACTCATTGTCATTAGCTTAGATGTTTTTAAAGGGGAGGGTGAATAGGCTTATGGCGGATAGGTCTATGATCACCAGTTGGTCATGATAACCAAATGAGATCGCCAGGTGCAGAGGCAGAATGTCTCTGACTGTCAGAAGCTAGACATGTCAGCAAGTAAAAACTTATGCATGGGTCCTATTTGCAGTCTTCCAACAGGCTGCAGTTGTACATAGGATGCTGGACTAGACAGACAGTTACTCTGATCTGAAATTGCTGTTCTTACAATCTTAAACTATGAATCTGCCTTATACAGACTTGGGCGATTGGATAATCCAGTTCAGTCTTATGTACCCCAACTAGCTGTGGCTCTTCCGTGCCTCAAGAACTGGTCATTCCTAGACCTGCCCCCTGAAATCCTTTAACTAGATATACCCGGAGTTGAGCTGGCAATTTTCTTCTTGTAAAGATTGTGATTCATTACTGCTGGCCTCCCACTCACCCACCCCCATTGTTTTGATTTTGCTGTTGACTTAAAATTCTTGTGCGGAAAGGGCTGGAGTAATTCTGGATAGGATTGTCCTGTCAAATATTTATACAATGGGTATACCCTAGAGATTCAAAACAGATTAGATTTACTCGCAGCCCACTCCTAAACATGCCGATTCAGAAGTCCCACCAAGTTCAGTGGGAGTCCCTGGTATGTATGCTTAGGATCACATCCCCGGTTAAATAATGAGCTGCCCAAATATCTGACAGTTTAAGAAAGGTGATCAAGGTTCTCTGGCAAGAAAAGTAGACGTGTTAGGCTGAAGATCGCCTGCAACAAAAGTCCAGGCATGATCTGTCCAAAATAGCACTGTCAAGAGCAAGCCCTGACCGCCCAGGCTAGCCTGATCGCATCAGATCTTGAAAGCTAAGCAGGGTCAGCCCTGGTTAGTATTTGGCTAGGTGACCACCAAGGAAGTCCAGGGTTGCGATGCAGAGGCAGGCATTGGCAAACCACCTCTGAATGTCTCTTGCCTTGAGAACCCCTATGGGGTCTCCATACATCAGCCTGTGACTTGATGGCAAAAAAAAGAAGCAAACTTCTCCAAGATTCGCTTTCCATAAAAGAACATGTAGTACAACCAGTTCCACATGTTCAAAATATTTTGTCTCCATCCACATACTGCAGGACTGGCTTATATTTAATGACATTTAAGATGAGTTTTGTGGTGTCTTTTTTTTTTCTATTTGTAATATGCCACAACTACAATTTCATTGTGTGTATGTGAGTGAGGGAAATGAAAACATCACCGTTTGGCTGTTGTGCTGAAGTGTCCTAATCCTGAATGTATTTACTTGGAAGTTATTTAGGAAATCCCTTCGTTTTCAATGTACCTTACTTCAGTATCACTGTAGTTAGAACAGAACTGTTTTGGAACGTACTGATCTGTTGACCAGTTGGGAGAGGGAGCTTGTGAGAGGATACAAGATTTGGTCTATTGAGGGACAAAAATTAGTATTTAAAGGGGGGGGGTCATTTGAGTTAACCCTGGTTCACCCATTTGTGAATGGTAATTGGCTAGGTCTTACTGATTGCTCTTGCTACTTTGTGCTGTACCTTTTAATATGTCACTCTGATAACCTGGCTTTGCAATGACAGTCCCACCCTTGGTTATGCAGGTCCAAGCCCTGTTTCCCATGAGAGAATCTCCTGATAACTGAAATGATGAACAAAACGGATTATAATTTGCCCTATAATATTGAGTCTTGAGTACTGAGCAAGCCATCCTATCACTTCACTAAATGTTGAACACTTGGCAGAGAACACTAAAGTCCTTATGGTGCTGATTTTTACAACATAACGTCATAGTTGCTGAGAGTTTGTCTAAGAAAACTATGGGGAGAGATCATGAGGATTCGTCCACATATGGCTGCATTTATTCCAGCTAAACTGCAGGCTGATACATGTTCTTTCCTTAACTGCCTAGGTTCGATAGATGAAGGAGTCACTGAGGGGTTGCCAACACTCCAAAGTACTTCTGGTGGTAATGTTCATGACGATGATCGGTATGTACCAGCATAATGTGTGAAATGTTCTGCAGTGTATGCTGTGATATACAAATATGCTCACATTTTCTGTATTAAGTAGAGTATACGACAGTGTCTAAGGTAAAAATTGCAGGCAGCTGCGTTGATCTAGTACAGGGGTCCCCATCCTTTTTGATCCTGTGGGCACACTTGGAATTCCGAGGCAGTGTGGTGGGTGCAGCACAAAATGGCTGCCACAGGAGGCGGAGCCAGCCACAAAATGGCTGCTACAGCATACTTTCAGTCACACAGAGAAGATCCTTGTGCCATGGTGCCAGTTGCTGCCAAAGCAATGTTTTTAAAAATTACTGTACTCTGCAGAGCCTTCCTTGGTGGTCTCCTTTCCAAGTACAGACCATGCCAAGCATCTGAGATCTAATGACCTGGATAGCCTAATATTTTCAGATCTCGGAAACTAAGCAGGGTCAGCCCTGGTTAGTATTTGGATGGGGGACCACCAAAGAATACCAGGGTAGCTCCACAGAGGTAGACAGTGGCAAACCACTTCTGAATATCTCTTGCCTTGAAAACCCTCTGGGGTCACCAGAAATTTTCTGGGACTTGACTGCCAAAACCCCCCAAACAACTCTGCTTAGGATTGTCCTGTGTATTTCCAGGTGACATTGAGAAAGGTAATGACTTCCCTAGGATTACCTAGGGTAATTCATAAGTACAGAATATATACACATTTTGCATGCTGTGTGTGCATTGAGATTTCTGCAGTGCTTGTGCAACAGCTGCAAAGTCAGTGTGATGTCATTTTATGGGCAGATTTTCATGCTTTGTTCACCTGCTGTTAACCGTTCTCTACAAAAAGTCCACTGTAGATAAAATATGTTTTGCATTCATTTGAGTGTTTGATCTACTTCAGTTCAATGAACTTTATTGTCTTCACTTTTTAATTGCATGCCACAGCTTTTTATCATACATTTGTATTTTGATGTTTTACATACATGCTTCCCTGATGCACTTCTAAAAGAGTAATTGCTTTTCTCTTCAGATTGGAGACTGTCCAGTATCCTTACCAGCTCTATATTACTCCTTCAACCAGTAGCATAGAGAGACCCAGCCCAAATGGTCCTGATAGACCTTTTCAGTGCCCAACTTGTGGTGTTCGATTCACTCGTATTCAGAACTTAAAACAGCACATGCTCATCCACTCAGGTAAGAATCATCATTTCTTTCACTTTCCAAAGTGCAACAATTTGGATTATAAATCTATGGATTGAGGAGCCTGTGACTTTTATTTAAAAGCTCGTTTTGCAGTTCAGCCCAATAATCTCCACAAGACAATGTAGGTGGCAGAAGTTGTAAAGTTCAGTAAAACCTAAGGGTAAGAACATAAGCCCTGCTGGATCAGGCCAGTGGTCCATCAAGTCCAGCATCCTGTCTCCCACAGTTCCTCTGGAGGGCCAACAACAAGGCATAGAGGCTAAGACTTTCCTCTGATGTTGCCTCCTGGCTCTGGGATTCAGAGGTTTAGTGCCTCTGAACATGGAGATTCCATTCAGCTACCATGGCTAGTAGCCATTGATAGACTTATTTCCCATGAATCTATCAAACCCTCTTTTAAAGCTGTTTATTCCTGGGGCCATCACTACATCCTCTGGCAGCAAATTCCCCATTTTAATGAATGAATCAGCCTTTGGTCTCTGAAAGCCCAAGATATTAGGATTGCAGAGCTAGAGCTTTTTTGTAGATCTTGAAAGGTTCTCTTCCATTCCGGAATTTTGCGTGGCCAGCAGCGTCTCCCCCAACTTGATTCCAGCCTTTATGCAGGGTGTCCAGAAATCCCTCATAATCTCATCTGCATGTAATATGAAAAGGATACCGTCTTGCTGTAGGAAGATAACGATGTCAAAGTTTTTCCTTTTAAAAAGAAAGAAAAAATGGAAGCTGTAAACCGCAGGAAAGTTTTTTAAAAGTTCAAAATGGCATACGTTTTTTATTTGTGAGGAAAGGGCGAAGAGCCTAAAGCGGTTAATGTTAACCACATTTGCTTGGAAACTAGTGAGGCCTACTTAAATCAGCTTGTGAATAAAGAGATTTAGGGTTGGAATGTCATTTGCAAAAGTTGGGAGTATTCAAAACCACAGGTTAATCCTTGGTTTCATTTTTCACTGAGCCACAAATGGCAATGAAATTGATGCAGGAGAAGCCAAGCCTCCCTGTGTTTTGGTCTCTGGAAGAGCTGCAGCCACATTTTAAACATGCTTCTTAGTACTTGGCAAGGCATTCGTGCAGAGCATAGAAGTCCTCTTGCCGCTAGCATTATATTAATTATGCCAGATGCATTCCCCTGCTGGATGGTATATGGCTTGGAAGCACATTGGCTTTACTACTTGAACTAACTAGTCTTTGCTGCGGATTAGACAGGTTGGCAGAAAGCACACGTCCTTCAGAGGAAAAACTAGAAAGGTTTAACAGAAACAAAGAATATTACAGCACAGTCTCAACTCAAAACAGTTCAATGCATCATCAGCGACTTACAGCCTCTACTGGATAATGACAGTTCTCTTTCACAAGTACTCAGATGGCAAGCCTTTTCTTGCGCACAGACAGCCCCCCAATCTCAAACAACTCCTCACCCACAATAATACAATATATAATTTGAACAAGGACACTGGTACCAGAGTTTACAGTAAACCCAGATGCCAACTTTGCTGCCACATATACCCAGACGACACAATCACTGGACCTAGCAACATCAGCTACACCATCTCAGGCTTATTCACATGTTCATGTTATAACATTGTATATGCCATTAAATGCCAACAATGCCCTTCGGTTCTTTACATAGGGCAAAAAGGTCAAACCCTACGCCAAAGGATAAATGGACACAAATCTGACATCAAGAATCACAAGACTGAGAAACCTAGGAGAACACTTCAGCCTTCCAGGACATTCAGTGGATGACCTCACAGTTGCTGTTTTATTGCAAAGGGACTTCAGGAACAGACTAGAAAGTGAAATTGCTGAGTTGCACGTTATTACAACAACTCAGAACAGTGGAATCACCAGGACTTAACAGGGACATTGGTTTCTTATCTCATTGCATATTCTAACCTGATTCAGCCCTAACGTCTGTATTCTCACCGATCCCCCAGAAGGGCCATACCTCCTCTTTAGTTTTTAAATTCTTATTTGGGATAATAGATTAGAATAGTAGCTTGTAATGTAACGTAATGAATATTAGAATGTAGTGTAATTTGGAATGGTAGGTGGGAATGTATTTCTCTGGTCTGGGGACAGGGGAGATAATTCTACACAACCAATCGCCCCACTTCAAAGAAGACACTGTAAGGTGGCCTCCATTCTAGAGGATAGATAGATGGAACGTAATGGTAGGGTCTCAGTTAATGACTCTCAGCATTCCACAATTAACGATACATCTGGCCATCAGTCCCCAATGTTGACATATTTATTTCCTTCACTCTGTTTCACACACACACACACACCCAGAATTAAACACAAACAAATGATAACCATATAAACTAAGCTTGCTATTCCTGTTTGGTCCTTGAATCTGTTAAACATCTTCATTATGCTGTATGCTAATCTACTGCTCACCCTCTACCTATAGGTATGGGCTGGTAATTTCCATTTCATTGTATCTGAAGAAGTGTGCGTACACACAAAAGCTTATACCTTGAATAAAACTTTGTTGGTATTAAAGGTGCCACTGGACTCGAACTTTGTTCTGCTGCTTGAGACCAACACAGCTACCCCCTCTGAATCCAACAGTACAGTCATGTAAGACAGCCCTTGGTGTGACAGAATGCAGAGTGCTGTGATTTCAGCCAACCTGTATAATCAGCAGCAAAGACTAGTTAGTCCAGTTCTTTGGTATTAAAAAATGCTTTTGAAGATCATCTGCCTTTATGACCTACTGAGACTGTTTTAAAAAATACTGTTTCTTAAAGTAGTAAAGCCAAAGTGTTTGATCCAAAGATCTCCTTGTAAAACTGCACTGCAGGTTTAAATGATACATCCTGTGCCTGGTCAGTACAGACTTAGATTGACACTTGAGTCAAAGATTTATACTCTCATTCTTTTGGGAATAATTTCGGCAACTTTAAAGTTTTGACAGGGTTCTCCTCCGCCCCCCCCCTTTTTTTCCTTTCTTTTAGAAGCTTCAGGTAGCAGAGTCTGTGTGAACGGACATAGCTGCTGCCCTTACACAGTGGTAGCTGGAATTTTGCCCACAGTGGTTTTCAGTTGCGGAGAGTCATTTTTCCCCCCTCCCCCTCCCTCCCTCCCTTGTCTTCTCACAGGCATTAAACCATTTCAGTGTGACCGCTGTGGGAAAAAGTTCACCCGGGCTTATTCGCTAAAGATGCATCGCCTGAAGCACGAAGGTAAACGCTGTTTCCGGTGCCAGATATGTAGTGCCACTTTCACTTCCTTCGGGGAATATAAACACCACATGCGGGTTTCCCGGCACATTATCCGCAAGCCTCGGATTTACGAGTGCAAAACATGTGGCGCCATGTTCACCAACTCTGGAAATTTAATCGTTCATCTGAGGAGTCTGAACCATGAAGCGTCAGAGCTAGCAAACTACTTCCAGAGCAGGTGAGGTGCACAGCAAAAACCCATCAGGGAAACATGCTTTTTTTTCCTCCTAAACCATCTCTTCCTGCTTTTCGGGGCAGCCTGCAGTTACCTTTTCCTATCAGGTTGCCATTTGATTGCTGTCCAGTGGGCTGTTGCATCCCTGTTATCAGTAATACCTATTATCTTTTTGGCGTATGTAAACTGTGTATACATCAGGGCCAAAGCAGATAATACTGGGACCCTGCATTCGCCATGAGGATGTGGTGTGGTTTTAAAGCTTGGTTCTTAACTTCAGAATGCCCTGGCGGGGCCATCCAGTTGGGCATTGCGGCACGGAAGGGATGAAGGGCTCCTGTCCCTCCCCGACAGAATTAGGACCATACAAAGTTTTGAAAAGTTAAAAACCAGGCTCTAAAATGGTGCTGTGTCCCATTGGCGGGCTTGGCCCAGTATCGTCTAGTTTGACCTTTGGATCAGTGGGGGGGAAAGTTACATTCAAACTGCCTCACATTAAGTAGCCCACCCAGTTTGCTGTACCGGATTATCTACCAGCAAGTTAATGGTACAGGGTATAATGTTCCTTATTGCCTGTCTGCTGTAATAATTACTTTAACATCTGCATCCAAAAGCAACAACACACCATTGAGACAGCTGATTTGATCTGAAAGCTCTAATTTTGTTTAACTGTTTCTCCATTTTCAAAGGGGGAATCAAACGGACTTAACATGAAATAGATTCTCACCAGTTTTATAAATGAAAGGCACCAGGCAAAGTTGACCTACTAAGTGATCAGCCTTTTAAAAGACTCATTGATTTCAAGAGAGCAGTTCAGCATCTGCTTACCTCTTCCACTGATATAAATTAGTCAGATTTGAAATTGCTTTATTTTGACTGGATTGTACTCAGTAGTATACCTGTTAAAACCTCCTGCTTGTAGGAAAGTTTATCACTTGCTTTTAATGTATATATCCCTTTATTGGCCACAAAACATCACATGAATGAACTTTTGTGGGGCAGCTTGTTTCTAACTTTGAGCTATTGTTTGTGTATGCTGTCTTGGTTCCTGATTCTGACTCCATCATAGATGTGAAATGCTGGTATTGTTTTCTGTTTAATTAGGTGTTTCCCAAATTGTCTTTTTAATCGTATTGGGTGAGCAAGATCTCTTTCCATTCCACTCAGCAAATTAAGCATTGTATGTATTCTCCTATATCCTGCAGATTTTTTTTTGCATCAGTGAATCAAAACCCTTGTCTAAATGCCTATCAAATAAAATGGGCTTGTTCATTAAATTCTGCAGTACCAATCCAACAAAAATTATTTTTGTTGGGTTGCACCCATTGTCTTGTGCAAAGCAAAACTATCCAGCAAGTCATAGAAGAACAAATTTTCTCTAGAAGTTTTGTGTGTTGTCTGGATTTCCCCCTGCTCAGAATCTCTGTCATCCCTCCTTCATTATTCAGAGGTAGTTAACATGAATACCCCATGGTCTGTTTGAGGCCCACCAAAGCTTGCCCTTCCCAGGAATTATCACTGTCTCCCAAACCTTGGCGGTCTAAATATAATTCATGGACCTGATTCTTCCTCCCCACCTTGATCATTTTATTCATCTGATTCTCTGCCACCATTTCTTCTTTAGAATAAACATCCATCCATTGTTGCATGAAAGCATTCTGTAGATGATGAAAAACCATGCATTTCTTATACATCTTTTGTGGAGTCAGAATTTTAACCCACACTCTGCAGAAAAAATACAAGGGCCCCGGTCACACGGGCCGGAATATTGCCGGGGGGGGGAGGAGGCGTGGCTAATTGCCCTGGTGGAAACTAATGCGCGGCCGCCCAAGCACACGTCCCGGTCGAGGTCCCATGGTTAGGGGGGAGATGCCGACCAGACGGGTATCCTGCAGCGCGGCACAGAAGCCGCGCCACACGATCGCACTAGCAATCGCTCTTTGTGCACAGGCGCTGTTGGGCGCTGTTGCACAACCTGCGGGGACGGGCGCCAGATGCCACGTAAGTCCACCAGAAACGCGATCAGATGCCCGCCCTTGGCCTGCGGTTTCCGGAAACTAGTACCTCCTAAGTACTAGTTTTTTAATCCGCACCTTTGGCGGGGAGCCACGGGTTCACCACGGGAGTGCTTCCCAGATGTTGGGGTGTGATCGCGCCCGGAAAATCCGCGGGACTCCCGTGCATCTCCCGCAGCAACTTTGCCGTTTGACCGAGGCAAAGATTGACCTTCTGGTGTATTTCCAGATGAAATTTTGGCACCCTTTGGGCTCATTTACAAAATTCTGGCCTTTGTGTAGAGGGTCTCTTGAAATGGTTTCACATTATCAACCATTTGCGTGGTTGAGGTGACTTTCAATTAGAACGCTTTGCGGGGCCTTAGAGGCAATTGTCCCAGCCCACATTCTGAGTCCTTCACGTAATAACAGGTGTGATCTGAAGCTGTTTGAAGGGTTCTCTGCGTGGCAGCCATAACATGCAGATTCGTCCATAAAAACAGCTTTTTCTCTAAGGCCGTCTTCACTGTGCGGGGAAGGTCATTTTCTTCAGGTGCCTATGCAATGCTGTTATTAGCCCAAGCATGTCCCCTGTTTCACTAATGCTCTCTCTTGCCCTTTGACCTCCCTTGTAGTGATTTCCTAGTACCGGACTACTTAAATCAAGAACAAGAAGAGACCCTCGGCCAGTATGAGCTAGGAGAGCATGGATTTGAAAGCAGCTCCTCTGTCCAAATGCCTGTCATTTCGCAGGTCTCATCGACTCAGAATTGTGAAAGCACTTTCCCCTTGGGGCCTCTGGGTGGGTTGGCAGAGAAGGAGGAAGACATGCCAGAGCAGCCAAAGACTATTGTAAGTGCCGAGGCAAGCCGGGATGAACCCCCGAAACCGGGGCTCTCGGCGATTACTATTGAGTAAGTCAGAGTTTGGTTTCATTTTTTGTCTTTTTGGAAAGTGCCTGTGTTTGGTCTTGTACATTTTTAATTTAATTTTCAGAATGGAGGGGGGGAGAATGCACCCCCTTTATTATTTTGTAAGCTATGCTGTTGAAACCATAAACTGCAAGAGACATTACACTATTTTCACAACCGAGCAGCCACTTCCACAGAGACATTCAAGGCTGAAATGCACAGTAAAAAATTTCCCTTCAACATCACATGCACTTCTAATGAAAAGCCAAGCACACACAAGCTCCAATTAGTCTGCAGTTAGCACCGATCGAATCTTCCCACCCCAACCCCATCCTGGTTTTTGCAGAACTTCTTGTAAAAGAAGGGAGATTGATGGCTCTCAGCATGACAGATAACGTGTCAAGCACTGAACAGACATTTGATGAACATTGGGTAATCATTTGAGCATTTTCACTTAAGAAGGAATTGCTTTGGTCTTTTACTTTTCTTGGGCATGCAGTCACTATTACTGAAACTTACAGGACCTCCTCTGTTTTGTAAAAGTGGATGATTGATTGGATTTGGCAAAGCAAGGAGAGGGAACATGCCCCAGTATGTTCACCTCTGGTATGCCACTCCTTTTTAGAAACTGTTCATTGAAATGGCCTTATCTGGATTCTGTTCTCTCTGGTCAAGGAATCCTAGTGATATTTCATAACTTGAGATAGTGAAAAAGAATGACAAAGGAGAGAGTTTACAAAGGGCAAAAAAAAAGAAGAGTTTTTGTGCATTAATGCGGTTTTACATCTTTGTGTGTACTTACCGCGGTTTTATTAGTCTGTTTTAGATAAAAACAAGCAATTTATTTTCTTTTTAGAGGCCAAGTTTCTAACCCAAACGGGTTTGTTTACAAAAGGCCTGTTAGCAATGATAAAAAGTTCTTATTCTAAAACATTTTTTATACCCCTGGCCAAGCTGGTTTCATAAAAGCCATTCCTCCAGCTTACATACACGGCTCCAGCAAGCAATAATATGAAAGACTTGCCATTTCACCCCCCTCCTCCAGTTTATAGAAGGTTGAAAACACATGATCTACAGCATTTCAAGCCAGCAGTTTTCATTTCATTGCCAATGTCTTCTGTTATTGGTAAAGCTTTGAAATTTAAATTAAAGGTTATATTCATTCTTTCACTCAGTTTTGGGCATCTCAGAACAGTCGAGCTTCATAATTCATCTGATACAAAACAAGAACCCCAAGAAGTTAGATTTCTTCAAGGCGGTGCTAGTGAGTTTTATGTCATTGCCGTCACACTGAAGGAAAATTGGTAAAGGGCTGATAGAAACAAAAGAAGTCTCAAGTAACTGCGGAGGTCAAATAACAGGGTTGATATTTTGTGCAACAGTGCTTGAAGCCTGGAAAACTGGCAGTCAGTTTCCAGGGAATGTGACGCTTCTGCCTATCGCACATCCACCCAGTCTAAGGAGACCGCTCCGTGCACTTCTCTGCTATTTTAGTAAAGGGCTTCACTGATAAATACTTACTGGTTTTAAATTAAAGTGTTCTGTTAAATAGGTTTTTCTTCCCATAAAGTTTTTCAACAGTTGTTTTTCTAATTAAAATTAAAGCATCCTTTCCAGATTTGTAAAAAACAACATTTTTGGGCAAGAGGTGTATCTTCTTGAAGAACTGGTAGCATAGGACTTATAGGGCTTGGACAAAGTATGGTGGCCTGGGGGGGGCTTCCTCATCAAATTAAAGACCAGCATAAGAGGCCACTCACTATTGGTACCGTGATCTTAGCATTCTAACAATCATGTAGGAGTGAGTCTCCGTGGTAAAGGGCGCTGATCCATTACAGATAGATTCATGCTTGACAGGTAACCCAGCAAGTAAAACATGCAGCTGTTTGTAGCTTCTTGTCCATAGACTTATTTGTTATGGTCACACATGAATCTTGTCCAGAGTAATTGTTAATGAGGAACAGTATGCAAATTATATGGCCCACACTAGAGCAAGTCATCTACATTAACATGATTTTAGGAAGATTTAAAATGTGATATCAGACCACAAATTGCTTTCTGAAAATGGGGGGGGGGTGTCCTAAAAGAAGGTATTCATAATAAGTGTGCTTTTAGCTCAGAAGTTTGTTTTCCATTGTCCTTACAAAAATGAAAGTGAACTTAGTTACTGTTTGCATGAACTGTGGGGCTACTGTGTCACGTCAGTTTCTTTAAAAGTCCTCATCTTCTTATATTTATTCAGTACTTTTAAATCTCAGCCCGGTAAAGGATCAGTTCATAATTCTCTCTTTTCACAAGAGAGGGGTTTTTTTCGTACAAAAAAAAAAGTTTCCTGTTGAAGGAATATGCCCCTGTCCATAGAGCTACCTACCAATGAAACAAGTCTCTTACTGTTGTTCTTGTCTTTTTGTTGTTGTTGTTGTTCTGGAGTTTTTTGCTTGTTCAGCCACAGAGAGACTTCCATTGTTAGAGAAGTGCTTTAAGATGAAACACTGTGGGGGACAACTGAGGATCAAAAAGCAGGCCAGTTTCTAACCCCTTGACCAACCTAGAACATGTAGCCTCAGTGGTTTTTAGATTCAACTTACTTCCAGTTTAGTATGTCTTTCTTGCAGCCTAAGCAAGCTAGAAACAAAGCTTTAAAAAAAAGTCACAGATTTAAATCATTGACATCTTGTGGCTTATCTCGCCATCAACTTCCTTTTTCCTGGCCCCTGAAAGCCTAGATGTTCTGGCCAGCGCTTGGGCAAATCCAGGTCTGGGGGCCAAACGAGAAGTGATGTTGTGGATCCTTTAAACAATACCTTGTTCCTTTAAACACCTGGTGCAAGCAGGCCCAAATGCCAACCAGAACTGCAGCCCTTCTTTGCAGTGGTCTTGGTCCAGATCAAAAGCACACGTACCACTATTCAGAAAGCTGTAAGGAGCTTCACTCAGTGTTCTCTCGCGGAGTGCATGAATGAACCAATGCTAAGCAGTTTGAGCACTGAGGATTACCACAGCCTTAAAAGACTGGCCATCTCTGCTTTAAATTAAAGTTTTTAAAAATCCATCCCCCCCCCCCCCCCCCCCCCCCCCCAAAGCACATCACAAGAATTGCATTTGTAGACTGAACGATATTTCCAGCATAAGATCACCAAATTGGGTTCACTTTGGTGACAGGGTAGAGAGTCCTTTTAACCAGCTGCTGGCTCTATGATCACTGTCCAACTCAATTCCTGCAGTGGCTTGGTGGAGCATTACATCATGTATGTACGTTATCTCTCAAGTATCAGGATGTACCGTACAGCTGTCCCTTCTGTGACTTGTAACAAAAAGAGTTTTAAATTCAGATGGAAAGCATCTGTTCCCACACAGTTTGGAAAGTGGGGCACCATCTGGGGGGCTAGAATCGACACCTGACATTTCCCTCACTTCTCTCCCACGGAAGGAGCAGAGTTGCACAATGCTGTGAGGATTAGAAAGGTGTTTAGCTGGGGGTTTTTTTGTTTTTTTTTAATGTGCCAACAGATCACACTCCCTAAGGGACCTATGGAGAGTGTACATACATTGGAGATGAGATTATGTTTCCCCAAACTACAATACGGAATGTCAGCTTCATGTAGCATAGTGTCTTTCTATCACCAGCTTGTTTTCCTTGGATGCATGTTTGGGAAGTCGATTTGACCTCTCTTCTCAGGCTGACCAATTTTATGCTCACAGTTCTAACGCTGAACATAACAGTCAGCTAAAATCATTGAGAATAGTTCTAGTTTTGGCACTTATCCTTAGACTGGAAAGTGTAAATGTGAGTCTTTTCTTTTTAAACGAAGCAACCAGTGCCAGTGTAGCAAAAGAAAAAACATTATAGAGAGATACTATATTTTATAAAACTATAGTCCCTACTAGGCCCAAAAAGAGATTAAGATTGTATTTTTTTAACAATGCATTTGCAAATTTTTTAAATGGGTGGCTTTGGCCAATTTTTTTTTTAATCTTTGTTTTTTTGGTTACTAATATTTTCTTCACCAGCCTCAAGATAGCAGAGGGTTAGATCCTGTCTCCCTCCTTCCCCTTCCTTTTCTTAGAGTCTGCCGAACTCCCTGTATCAAGAATGTTTTGGATGACAAAGGAGTTTTTACAAAGTAATTACAAAGGAGAGGCGATTTCTGCTCCTTGGTTGCCTTTCTGCAAAAGGCATTTCTTTTCCTATCCCAATCAAGAACAAAACGTTACCGTTACTGACCTCCGGCTTTGCAAGAGCAAGCAGTCCCTGCCGGTATCCAGGCTAGTATTCTGCCGTATTACGACGAGGCTTTTGTGGGCCACGTTTGTCTGGGAAGCGGGGTAGAAATATATACAACTAAATACTAGAGCTTATCGGTAGAATAAAGCTGGTATTAAAAAATACAAAATCTATTTTTAAATACAAAAATAACCAGTGTGTGCGTGTTTTGTTTTTGTTTTTTTGTTTCTAATTCTCTGTATGGTATTGAAGTCCTTCAGTGGATCTTATAAAGCTCACCCAGAGACTTGGCTGCGTTAAAGGTGCTTCCAAGTAGCACTGCGGTGACCCAGGAGGGCTTCAAGACACCTCGAAAGGGGCAGGGCCGTGGCCGCTGCTAGCTGCTGATATTCGGATATCCCTGAATAATAAGAAGCCCGAGATTGCTTTCTGGCTCCATTTCTGCAGTGCCGACTGTCTCTGGGCCTTTAGAAGAATCGGGGGGGGGGAGTAAAGTAGGAATTGGGGTCTTACAGGGGACCCCCACAACAGCAGCCCCCCTAACCCTTTTAACTGTGCCAGCCTTCGGTCACCAGCCGCCACCTCGTTCAGCTTTCCTCGTCTGTGCCGACCGCAGCTACACTACTTGGCATGTTTATTGACTTAATGGAAATGTTTCTTGGGTTTGTTCTTTTTTGTTTGTTTGTTTTTGTTTTTTTAAATGTTGAAATACACTTTGCATTTTATATACTATATCTGGCTATTAGTATTTTTCAGGAACCCATAGTTCTCGGTGGCTATATATATATTTTTGTGACTTTTTGTAAACTAAAGTGCCGTTTCACTGTTACAATCATTTTTAGAGTTCTTGTAATCAATGTGAATATCATGGTTTTTTCAAATCTGTTCTGAGCCTGTAGTGTTCGCTTTTGTGATTCTATGTGTAATGTATATATTCTGTATAGTTCCATTGTACTGAAATATTAGCTCGTTTGATATAAGAAGAATATGTATTGGGTACCCTTTTTGCTAGCCTGGTTGTTTAATCTTTAAAGAAAAAAGAAAACCCTTCCGAAATTTTTAAAAAATCTCCAGACTGGTCCCATAATAAGTCAAAATTAAGAGGGAAGAAAAACTAGTTTTGAGTGTCTTTGGATAGAAACATGATGCTAAGATTTTTCATTAAAATATTAATGTTTTATGGAGTAAGTACCTATTTCGGTGTCATTATTTTCCTGTCGTTTAACATACTTAAAAAAGGGCACCTGGCCCTTATAAATTAAAAGGATACACTTTACAAAAACACAACATCCCAGTGGACCCCTCAACCCAAACTTCAAGGAGGTAATGATCCACAAGGGGTTGTCCCAAATGGGTGCTCCTTCTGCCAGTGTGGCACGCAGAAGGCCCACAGATCAAGAGCTCTTCAGCTGCTCACACCCGTGATCCTACACAGATGTTAAATTGCCTGCAGAAAAGGAAGGATAGTTGTTCAGCCCCGGCTTCATTCCACTGTTTAAGCTCCCTAGTTCGTTGTCTAATCTGCTCAAGCACTGTTTTCCCTGCTCCAGGATGGAGCCCAGGGCAAGTCTGGGCTTGTCCCAGTCCCTGTGGATTTATCACAAACATGCCTGCCCAGTGTGTATACTAGTGGTGGAAGTAGACACTGCTGTCGGGTCATAGCTGACTTATGGCAACCCCCACAGGGTTTTCAAGGCAAGATGCCTTCAGAGGTGTCTTGCCATTGCCTGCTTCCGTGTCACAAATCATTGTTTCCTCTAAGCTGTGGAATCTTGTGAAGCCAGAGCTCCCCCTGCTCAGCTTCTGAGCTGTGACTAGATCAAGCCAGCCTGGGCTATCTAGGTTTTTAAAAAATGTCTATTTAGAACACACACGTGGTCTGAGATTCCACTGTTCACAGCACATTTAAAGGAATACACCCACTGCAAAAGGAAAGGCCAGACTCAAGGACTGGCATACCAAGGCACTTGCCTTGGCCAGCAACATTGCAGATGGCCTACGGCCAACTGGAGACTCTGGTGGTTCTACCATCTCCCAGTGGGAGAAATGCTGAGTGGGGGATATACAGCACAAGACACCTCTTCACACTTGCCCAGAGTCTCTGCGCTGATTCGGTCTTGTTCGTTTTGAGACCCACCACCACCACCGGTAGGGCTACAAGTGGGCCTGGGCTATCCTTTGGACTTCAGCGTTCTTTAGTCCTTCCTTTTTGAAGGATCCAAACTAAATTTGTAACAGGATAAGCAGGTCTAAGTATTGCATGAGGGAAACTCAGTTGGCGTTGGTGGTGATGGGGGAATTTGCCATTATGCAATGGACCACAGAGTGTTTGAAAAGGGATATATTCCAAGCACCGAAGCACGCTCCCTTCCTCCCTGCCTTCCCCTATTAAGGGAAAAGTTTCTTTGCATGAAATTGGCAAAGCACAGATTTATTTCAGGGGGCATGTGACAGAAATTATAAACAACTGTTACATAACAAACTGTTGATGGATTTGAAATTAATAACAGTTAAAGAAAAGGGCAAACGAGACCAAAAAAAGAGCACTTGGTTGTGTTTTAAATAAATACTTTTGGCTGACATTTTCTCCCCCCGTAGATATTCACACAAATCCTAATTGAAAAGCTGGATATGAAAGACTGTCAGACGCATTTACTGCTGGGAGGTATGGGGAAACCCTCCAGCTGTTAAGGGCGAACTCTTGTTTATATCCTACAAGAGGAGGGACCGGAATTAGGACTGTACCAGCATCCAGACCAGGAAAGGCAAAGAGTTGGCTGGGGACAGGAAATATGAGCCAAGCAGCAGAAGACACACCACGGAGAGGCACAAGCCGTGGAGAAAGTTCTGACCACCGAGTGACCTCTCACCAAGGTCCTTTTGTTGTATGTGTAAAAAGAGGCAGGAAACCATTGGTCTCTGCATATGCATGGCAGCCGCAGCTCCTTCCACAAGGCAGCAAACCTCCCCCCATAGCTCTACAGGGATTCAGGACCCACCAGAACATTCTGGCCCATCTACTGAGAACCATTGTCTAGATGGAGCTTCACACCCACAAAATCAAGGTATAGAGTTTCCGTCTCATTTTCCTCCTCATGCATAAGAAATCTCCCTTTGTGGCACACAATCAGTCTCACGATTGCACAGCCATTGGTTGCCCCCACGAGTGCAGAAGAAGAGTAGGTTTTATACCCCGCTTTTCTCTACCTTAAGGAGTCTCAAAGCAGCTTACAATCTCCTTCCCTCCCTCTCCCCACAACAGGCACTTTGTGAGGGAGGTGGGACTGAGTTCTGAGAGAACTGGGACTGGCCCAAGGTCTCCCAGCAGGCTTCATGTGGAGGAGGAACGGGGAATCAAACCCAGTACTCCAGACGTCTACTGCTCATAACCTCTACACCACACTGGCACTGAGATGCTCTGCAATAAAGAAAAACCAGCAGCTGCCTGCAGAAGGACAAAGTAAACATCAACTCCAGAGTAAAAAAGGCAATTCTGAAATTACTGAGGACAATGCTAAGCGGCTCTACCCAGATTCTGCTCCATGGGGCTGACAGCAAAGTGTTCTTAGCATTGCACTGTAAGTTGCCAAAAAAATACCTGTCCATTTTTTAAAAAAGATTTATTTATTTTTTGCTTCTGAGCAATAGCTGGCAGAATGTTCTGCAAGCCAAGGTGAGTTTCCCTTATGCTTTCCTGCCTCTGGTTGTGTTTGCTTCCCAGAGGCAGGTGGCGCCCCCTGATCCCTGCATCTGCTCAGCCAGCCCATGTTCCTTTGCCAATAATTTCCAGTCAATCCTTTCTTCCTTCCCCATTAATCACTTATCTCCCGTATTGCATACTGTTAAAGAACTAATATTAAATAACTAAGAGTCCAAAGTACTCAGTTCTCCGAGGAGACTGTCTGTTGCATCTCTGCATGGGTCACTGCTCTGGGTTGCTCTCCTTGGAGCAGTGACTCTCATTGGATAGATTCTCCTGAGGATGTGTAATCCTTATTTGGACATGCACCACAAAATGGGGGGGGGGGGTTTGCTGTCCAAAAGTGCGGAGGCAAACTCTGGCAAGCAATATAATCTGACAATAACCAAAAAGAATAAGCAAAATGTTGTGGGAAACTGTCTGGACCAAGGACAAACACTCTCCCGTTCTCAGGCGCTGAGCTCACAGCCACCTGGGGCCTTGGGGTTCTCACTGGGTCCTGGTCCTTTGCTGAGGCTCTTGTACATCTGGGTTCCTCTCGAGAATGCAGACAGACACTCAGCAGACACTCCCAGCGTGGTAGGTTAAAAAATACCTCTGCATTTATTTGAATCCTTCAAATAACAAAGAGTGTTTGCTCGGCAGAAACCACTCACAAATTACAGCAATGGCAAAAAAAACCAAAAAAACGACACTATACTTGCACTGGGCAGAGGTTGAGCCTGAAGCATTAACTCCTTGATGGCTTCCTTCACTGGGGTAATCTTGCGACCTGGCTTGCGACTCCAAACAGCCCCGTTGCCAGAGCGACACGTAGCATCACATCCTGGCGACGGCGGTGCAACGCGTATCGCTGTCCCCCGCGGCAGGGATCCTGTGAAGACGTGTGGATCCCCCGCCGCGGCTTGGCAGCCCTACCTGGCTTTCTCACCCGAAGGCTTAAGAAAGAGCCCACTCCCACAGGCATAGTCCGCAGCATTTCAGCTTGAAGTCCTGGAGGCCTCAGCCTTTCTTTGTTTCTTGCGTGACTACTGCCCAGTTAGGTAGCCACCTCCTTCCAATCAGGGCATCGTTAGATCCCCCCCCCCCCTTGTTAGCTGGAAGCCAGGAAAAGGCATCTTATGCAGCTGGTCAAGTCTACTGCCCAGTTAGGTAGCCCCCTCCTTCCAATCAGGGCATCGTTAGATCCCCCCCCCCCCTTGTTAGCTGGCAGCCAGGTAAAGGCATCTTATGCAGCTGGTCAAGGCCACCAGGTGTTTTTAATTAACGCTCAGCCCAAACAGGCTGCAACCAACCTGTGAAAACTCATAGCTTGGTCGCATTAATGAAAGCCTGAGATCTGTAAGTTCTAATCCTTCCAGAAACATTCAGAGAAAACCATACAAATCTTTTTCAGTACACCGGAA